GGGGACTGGGCAGAGCACCCCTCGCCCTGGCCTGCCGCTGCCCAGCTCAGCTGTTAGAGCCCAGCGTCAGAGGGGGAGCCGGAGTGGGGCTCCCCTTGTAGCAAGAAAGCAGCTTCCTGACAGGGACCGCACTGTCCTTCCTTCGCTGGCCCGGGGCGTTGGCCTTAGTGCTCACCGAGTGCTCCTCCTGCAAGGGCGTCGGAGCCTGGCTTCCTCCAACTCTGACGTACAACCCACATTGTTCCCGCCGACCACCCTGGTCCCCGGCCCCGGCCCCTTCCCACGGCTCACTGCCTGGAACCAGGCTCCTTTGGCCCTGAGTCACGGAGGCGGTGTCTTGGGCGTATCTTACGAGCTACAGCTGGTGTAGGTTCGCCCAGGGAGCCTCGGAAAAGACATTGTCCTCAGGGAAGTTTAAAAATAGGCTGAAAGGAAGGCCCGGAGAGGGTGGTGGTGGGAGGGGTAAGGAGGGGGAGAGGAAGGAGGAGGGGGAAGAGCAGAGAATGAGAGAGAAAGGGTTTGGCCACAGGGCAGAGACCGTACTTTCCTACTGGTGCTGGGTAAACTGAGGCTTCACCCCTGAGCCTTCCCCTCATGGGGGGCAGGGGATTCAGCTCCCCGAGAAGCCAGGGTTGGGCAAGGCCAGGCCCAGGATTGGGGTCAAGCTGGCACCAAACCAGGGGGTCCCTTACTTCTTGTGTTATAGACCCCGCTTTGGAAAGAACCCTGTGGACACATTTCCAGCAAAGTGTTTCTAAAGGCATAAGATGACGTGTGTGAGATTACAAAAGAAACCAGCTGTATTAAAATACAGCTATCAACCTAGTTTTAAAATATGTCTTTATTGATTTCATAGAGGAGGGGAGAGGGGGAGATAGAAACATCAATGAGCCAAAACCAGTTTGGCTTAGTGGATTGAAAGGTCCCAGGTTCGATTCCGGTGAAGGGCATGTACATTGGTTGCGGGCACATCCCTGGTGGGGGTGTGCAGGAGGCAGCTGATCGATGTTTCTCTCTCATCAATGTTTCTAGCTCTCTATCCCTCTCCCTTTTTATAAAAGAAAAAAGAAAAGAAAACATCAATGATGAGAGAGAATCATTGATCAACTGCCTCCTATACACCCCCAACTGGGGACCAGGCCCAAAACCCTGCATGTACCCTGACAGGGAATTGAACCCTGACCTCCTGGTTCATAGATCGACCCTCAACCACTGAGCCACACCAAGGACCTTCCGAACGACCTCGAGGACAAAGCGGGGCCTTTGCACGAATTTCGTGAATCAGGCCTCTAGTATAAAATAATAAAATCTAGCAGCAGGTCTACTCTGACCAATACCATGATTTCCCAGGAGTGATGAGCTGACGTGATATTTCAGCACTGCAGTGTTGTACCTGTGGTCTCTGTCTGCCGGGGATACAGTCACAGGAGGGATGGGGCAGCTGAGGTCTGGGGACACGCTCTCATAACTGGCGGAAACACTATACTTTCGTTCCAGTTAGTGAAAGCAAAGGTGGTTTTTACCCCATTCTGTGTTCATTAACCACTGAATTATCCCTGTGGGCCCCAGGACACGACACTGAGGGACAGTCACAGACCTTGTTAGTTTAGTGAACACTTACACGGACATGGCTACTCTTATCACCTCATCTTACAGCCCAGGACACGGAGGCTTGGAGCCACGGAGGTGATTGGGGCACAGGCAGCATATGGCAGGGAGGGAAGGCTGGTGGCATTGAACTTGGGTTCCCTCTCCTAAAGCCTGTACTCTCCCCCAAAACCTGCCTCCTCACCCGAGCAGGCCATCCACCGGGGCCAGAGCGGGCACGACCTTCATTGGCATTGGAGCCGGTTCACAGCGGTGACCCTGAAGGTAGAGGGTGGCACCCTGGCTTGCCCTCAGCAGGGCCGCGGTGGCTTGTCTACTTGTTCCCACGGCTCTCTCAGGGAGCCCAGCACAGCATGGTGTCAGGCTCACCGCGCACTCCCACCTGTGTCTGCTGGTCCTCAGTGGGTCAGAGCTCAGGCCTGGTGTTCAGGCTCCAGAGCCCAGACCTGCCCAGAACCCACCTCAGTTTGTTCCCTTGACACCACACCCGACCCTGAGAAATGCCACAGCGCCCCAAACGGGGGAGGGGCGCTGAGGAGCAAGCCAGGCCCCCAGACAGAGTAAATTGAGGAGGCTTCCTACAAAGAGTGAGTTTTGAGCTGGACTTTTTCCAACTTTTAAATTATGGTCAGCCCTAGCTGGTTTGGCTCAGTGGATAGAGTGTCGGCCCCTGGACTGAAGGGTGGTCCCAGGTTTGATTCTGGTTTGGAGCACACGCCCTGGTTGTGGGCTTGATATCCAGTAGGGGGCAGCCGACCAATGATTCTCTCTCATCATTGATGTTTCTCTCTCTCCCTTCCTCTCTGAAATCAATAAACACATGTTTTAAAAAATAAGGTTCAATTATGAATACGGAAATGAAGAAAATTTGGAAGAATAGTGCAATAAACACCCATAAATTCTCCCCAGAGAAAACGATTGTTAGCATTTTGCCACATTGCCCTGTGTGTGTGAGCATATATATGTAACGTTCTCTGAAGGATTTGAATGTGGGACATTGCAGACACATCACATACTCATCATTATTCCCCTTGGACCCTAATGCCATTTTTTTATGCCTCAGAAAACCAATACTCATTTCTTAACCCCAAGCTCATATTCAAATTTTCTGAAATGTCCTAACTTTTTCTCAAATAAGGATTCAATCCATGTTCCAGCATCGGGGCAGACTGTCCGAGCTGTTGACTGAATGGGAAGCGGGCATTCCCCCCCGGAAGGTTCCAGAGTCACCACGGTGCCTGCTCCCAGGGTGGGGGGTGAGCAGGAGTGAGGGGCCTTGAAGCTAACATGGGGGAGTTTGGTTCTGCCATGGGGGTTAACCCAGAACAAGGGGCGGGGAGTGGGAAGAATCCCAATTGTGCAGAGCACTCAGCAAAGACCGTCCCTGTTCTTCTGACGAACTTCTGGGTGTCTTTCTTTCTTTCTTTCTTTTTTTTAAATATATTTTATTGATTTTTTTACAGAGAGGGAGAGGGATAGATAGTTAGAAACATCAATGAGAGAGAATCAGCTGCCTCTTGCACACCTCCTACTGGGGATGTGTCCGCAACCCAGGTACATGCCCTTGACTGGAATCGAACCTGGGACCTTTCAGTCCGCAGGCTGACGCTCTAGCCACTGAGCCACACCGGTTTCGGCCCTCTGGGCGTCTTTATCAGACCACACCTGCCATCACTTTCTTCCCTAGACACTCAGTCACAACTCGCACTCACACGGGGTCTCAGCCGTGAGTCAGGATGTGGGGAGACCCTGGGATAAACCTCTGGGGCGGTCTGGCCGGCCTGCCAATCTTGGCTGCTCTCCCTCCTGCCACCTGCCTCCCCGCTTTGCCCTTAAGAACTTAATCAGACCAAAGAGCCTCCAGGGAGAGCAGCTGGCACCAGGGACAGAAATAGCCGGGCAGAAAGCCTGTCTCTGTCCAAGCCTCCAGCTCCGGCCGGCCAGGGTTGGAGGCAGAGAGCGTGGGTGTTGGGGAAGGAGAAAATTCAGAGCATGCTCCTGTCCCCCTGAGACCCGCCCTGGGCCAGAGAAGCTAAGCACTCACCGGGCCCAGGACTCGTGTGGGGTCACGCCACCCAGTCCCTGCCGCCTGGTGATGTGGGTTGGGCATCTATCTCAGGGGCACGAGCCTGACCCTGGGAAGAGGGCCCCTGCCCCGGCCTCCACCCTGGCTCTCCTCCGGCCCAGCCGCACCTGAGTGAGGAGTCCGGGGGATGAAGGAGATGGATGTGTCCATCCTGATCAGGCCTTAGGTACTGAGGTCCAGAAATCCCTGCCCAGGCAGTCTCCTGCCCACTTCCTGAGCCTGAGCTGGTGTCCTCCACGGGCCCAGTCGCCGAGGGTGGATGGCATCACCAGCGTGAACAGCTGTTGGTAGGGTTGTGGGTGAGGCTTGGACGTGAAGGCTGGGGTGTCCATCCTCCCTCGGGATGTAAGGAGGGGAGGGGGCAGGCTGAGGGCCAGAGGCTGCTCAGCCCACACTGCCAGGTGCCAGCGGAGAACTCTAAGGAGGCAAACCATCCTCAGTTCCAAGCTGACCCTCCAGGTTGCTATGCAGGTATATTGACAAGGAAGGGAGACGTGCCCGTTTTACTTTGTAAGTGTCAGGCAGAGGGAGGGACGCTGAAGAAGGCACGGAGCTCTGGAGTGGCCCAGCACAGTCCCTGGCCCCTGCGGGCACTGCTGACCCATGTGTATTCGGAGTACCTTCAGTGGGGCAAGCGGACACTCGAAATGACACCTTTTGGTGCTAGGCATCAACCTGACCCGAGTATCTTATTTGGCTTTGAAATACTCATAATTTTAAAATTTATTTGAATTTTTTAAAAAAATCTTTATTGTTCAAAGGATTACATTGGTCTTTCTCTTCTCCCATCCTCCCTTCCCCTCACCGCCAGGCCCTCACGGCCCCATGGCCTGTGTCCACAGGTTATGCATGTATGCACACAAGTTCATGGGCTGATCTCCTCCCACCCACCCTCCCCTGCCTTCCCTCTGAGGTTCAGCAGCCTGTTCGTGCTTCTATTCTCTGGCTGGCCCATGTGCTTTAAACCTCAGCAGGTTTCCTTCTCCGTTTGGCGTTAGCAGGGGTTCAGGAGGCAGTTTCCCTGGGCTCAGTCATCTGGGTGTTCTAGAGATTATTCTAACCACGGAAGTACCTCGCGTTTATGGGGTGCTTGGGACATGCCACATTTATTCACCACGGGTTCTCACACAGCCCCACCTTGTCTTCCAGAGTTAGAGACGATGGCTCCGAGGGGTTAAGCGGCGTCCTCGGGACCACTCCGCTGTGAGGACAGGACCGAGCGAGCGGGTCTTCTTCCTCCGGCCCAGCTCTCCCTCCTCCCTGCTCCTCCCACCCTCACCGGCCGGCCGTGGGGCCTCAGCAGCAGGGTTCGGGGGCCATGTCCCTCCTCCCGTGGCTCCGGTGGAACGAGGCCCTGCCCCGGCTGTCGCCCCGGAGCCCGGCTGAGACGGTGCTGGAGACGCTCATGCTGGAGCTGGCGGGGCAGATGCGGGAGGCGGAGCGGCAGCGGCGGGAGCGCGGCGGGGCGGCCGGGAGGGTCCGCACCGGCGTGGACTACAGCTGGCTGGCCAGCGCGCCCCGGGCCGCCTATGACCTCAGCCCCGCGGAGCGCCTGCACCTGGAGGGGGTCTGCGCCAAGATCCCCCCGGCCTCCTGCGGGCCTGCCATCCTCAGGTAGGCCTGGCCCTGGCCCGGGGCCCCGCTGCTGAGCTGCAGGCTCCGGGGAGGGTGGCAGCTGTGGCAGGGCCCGGGGTTACCAGGGCTGAGGCCAGGGCGCCCGGATGACCCGCTGTCGGTCAGAAAGAGCAAGGCAGGAGGAGGAATCTGGAACATCAGGCCGTGCGAGGGGCCCAGAGTGGCTCCTGGGTGCAGGCTCATGCGTTTTGATAGGAGAGAACCTCAGGCCTTTGGACTTGCTGATCTCCCTGTCAGGTTATTATCCTGAATTTATTTATATATATAATTTCTTTACAGAGAGGAAGGGAGAGGGACAGAGAGCTAGAACGAGGGGTGGGCTGGGGCCACAGGGAGGGGGGGTGACTCTGAGTTACTTCAGGAGAAGTGGGGACGTGGAGGACTTGGGACTTGACGTTAGGGGGTGCACGTGGAAGCCCCGAGCCCAGGTGTCACCGCCAGGTGACCTCCCCTCTCCGCCCCGCAGGTTCCGGCAGCTGCTGGCGGAGCAGGAGCCGGAGGTGCGGGAGGTGTCCCGGCTCTTCCTCTCGGTGCTGCACGAGGTGCTGGAGGGGAGGAGGCGGGAGGAGGAGGCCCGCAGGCTGACCCGGCAGTGGAGCCTGCGGCCCCGCCGCGGCCTGGCCCTGCCTGCCTTCAGGCCCCGCGCCCGCATCTCCCCCTTCGCCAGCGACATCCCCACCGTCTCCGAGGACGTGGAGCGGGGTGCCCGGCCGCCGGCCCGGGCCTGGAGCATGCCCGAGTTCAGGGCACCCCAGGAGGACTGACCCCCCGGCTCTGGGGGCAAAGCCACCGGTGGGAGGGTGTGAAAGGCCTGGGACCACCCCAGGCTCTGGAACCTCCTGCCAGGCAGCCACGGGCAGCCCCAGCCTAAGGCACTCCTGTGAGATGGAGCAAGCCCCTGCCCACCCACCCCTCCCCCTAAAGCAGGGCCCCTCCCTACGCGGGGTCTCCGCAGACAGACCAGGGCCCCACCTTCTGCTTCTGTCTGGAAGACAGATAATTGCCCTGATGTTTTGCCACGCCCCGAGTCCTCACCCCACCTCCAGGGCTGTCCCATTCACCCCATCTCCCTGGGTAACTAACGATGAGGGTCCATTCTCTGCCAGTGTCTGGCGGTCCCGCCACTGCAGGTGGGTCCCAGCCTCGTGGGCCAGCAGAGCTGGAAGTGGCCACAGAGGTCACCGGGTCCACCCTCCTGACTTCTGAACGAGGACCCTAAGGCTCAGACCAGGCTGCTTCTTCCACCTTAAACGGATCCCTGTGGGTGGCAGGTTGTCCCTGAACACTGTCTCTGCCCCTGAGTCCTGGAGTCCTGGGCTATGAGGGGACAGGTCCAAGGACTGCACCAGCACCTGCCCATGGTTTGACTGCTGTCTGGCCTTGGCCTTGGCCTTGGCCTGGGGGGGCTAAGCTGCTCTCCAAGAAAATCGCTGGGGCAGAGGTAGGCTGCCATCACCCCACCCCAGGGCGTCATCTCCTGGGGGGTGGCTGGTCCCCACAGCTCCTCCTAGAAGCTCAGCTCCCCGCTGGATGCTCTGGAGAGTCCGGGTCTCTGAGCCAGGGCCCCTTCGGAATCTGGCCATGCCTGCCCTCGGCCTTCCCCGGAGCCCACGCCCCTAACTGGCCTCGAGGCACCGGACATGCCTTAGGAGAGCCTGCCAGCCTGTGGTTAGCGCTCGGTGATGGGCATGTGGAGTCTCCCCTGTGGGGGTCACCCACAGTGAGTCCGCACACTCTCTGGGCTGCAGTGGGGCATGGGGGACGGTGGGGAAAGTGTCTGTCCCAGTTACCCATGCACACTCAGAAAACCAAGGGAAGCAAGTACTTCAGTGGCAAGTTTGTCCCCAGCCCTGGCTGGGGCGTGTGCAGGAACCAATCACTATGTTTTGTTTCTCTCTCTTCCTCTCTCTCCTCGCTCACTCTCTCTCTCTCTCCCTCTCTCTCTCTCCCTCCCTCCCTCCCTCCCTCCCTCCCTCCCAGTTCCTTCCACTCTTCTTAAAAATGAATGGAAAAATATCCTCTGGTGAGGCTTAACAACAACAAAAATAAAAGATTTCTGTTAAAAAAGAGCTTCTGGCCCCGACCAGCCTGGGAGTCTGTGGAGGGGGGCCAGGTGTGGCCCATCTTCCTGATGAGTTTCACCTCCTCACCGGAAGTGGTTCTCCCGGAAGTCAGAGCTGAGCGTCTGCGGGGTCAGAACCAGGCTTGCAGGTCCACAAGGGCCTGGGTCAGGCTCCTCCCTGGCGCCCTGAGTTCTGCCCGCTCATCCTGGGGGGCCTCAGCGCGTCCTGGGGGAGAGGGCCACCACCGCGCTGGGTTTGCATCTCTAAGAGACTTGGAGCCCTGGTGCTGCTTCTCTGCCAACTCGCCCAGAGAGAGGTAGGTGTGGGCGCCCGCAGAGGCAGGGGGTGGGGGAGGTGAGGGGGTAGGGTGGTGGAGCGGTGGGAGTCGTGGGGGGGCTGGGGGGTGGTGAGGATGGTGGTGGTGGGAGGAGTGGGGGTGGGGGTGGGGGAGTGGTGAGAGTAGGGGAGCCGGGTGGTTGAAGGCAGCCTTCACTTCGGTGGGGTAATTCTGAGGCATTTGGGAGCTCATGTTGTTGGGCAATAAGGAGTTAAGGCAGAAGAAACTGGTGTGTTGGCTGGTCTTAGAGGTGGTTCTGAAGGTGGTGACTGGCCAGAGGCTGGGAGAAGGGGCGTCCCTAGGTCTGTTCCCTCCAAACACTGTTGAAGCAAGAGGTGGATCCGGACCACCAAGGGCACTGGCTAGTGAATCTTAATGTAAATAAAATGCCAGGAGAAGGCAAGTCAGCAGGGGGAAATCCGTATATTCCCTCACTCAGCTCAGTGGGGAAGAAATTTTGTTTTCACTCAAATCTGGACAGAGAATCGTAAAATGGTTAAAAAAAAAACAAAACAAAAAAAACAACAACAACAACAAAAAAAAAAACACCCTCTCACCCAACACTGTCAAGACGGAGTTGTTTTGCTCATTCACATAATTGGTAAAGGTTAAGAATGACAAAAATATACTCGTACATCTTAAACATCTTAGATATTTTATGTTAAGATATAAAATATGGCTCATTTAACAGCAAAATTTTTAGTGTAGGCCCCAGCTGTGTACACTTTTGTGTGTGTGTGTGTGTGTGTGTGTGGCAGGTGTGGGTTGTCTGATGGGAGTGCTACACGTCTGGTGCATTGGGTTGTGTGTCTTTCATTATACAGTAACAGTAAGAACTGGTACAAACAAGTTTTGGAAACAACAGAGGAGAATCATGGTAAGCAGATAACTGAGTTGGAAGGGGCAGAAGATTTGGAAGAGAATTAGAAAAGGATCTACTAGCCTGGACCTTTCAAGTGCCCGCGGGAGGAAATGCGGGGTCAGGGCTAACCCCGTGGGGGTTCAGAGGTCAGTTAACAGAATGTCCGATGTTTCCTCCTTCCCCACCACCTGACAGGCGCCTCTTCTCCCCAGAGGAGAGGGAGACCCGTAGCTCTCCGTCTTGTGTTGCTTTTTCAGTTGAGGTAACTGGCCACGAAAGCCTTATCCACACATCTCAGTAGAACAGACGGAACCCACCAGCCTAGGGTCGGCCTGCAATGAATCCCAATTGGGAATCAAATCTCGAAAGCCTTATCCACGCGTCTCAGTAGAACAGATGGAACCCACCAGCCTAGGGTCGGCCTGCAATGAATCCCAATTGGGAATCAAATCTCAATTGAGATTCAGATTGTTAAAGGGAGTAAGGATGTCCGCCTCCGTTTCTAGTTTAAAAACTCAGGAACGTATGAAAGAACAAAACAGCTTGAGAGGCTCCTGGTGAGTGTGTGTGTTAGCAGCTGTTGGCTGTTGAAGGGATTGGGGTTAAGGATGCTCAGGACTTCCAGGATTATCTGTTTGCCTGAACTCACCACCACTGGCCATTGGAGGGAGCCAGTGGGGTTGGACCACTCAGCAGTTCCATGCTATTTCACTTTGGGTTTTTGTTGGGAACATTTTCAAACAACAAAACAGAGGGAAAGTGTAAGGAGCTCTCATAGCCCCATCTTTAGGGTTTAATGGTCATTAACATTTTACTGTATTTGCTTTCTTTTTTTGTGAAGTACTTTAAAATAAATCCCAGACACCGTGACATTGCACCCCTGAGTATTTCAGTATGCACTGCAAAGGAAATTTACCTGTGTCTCCACAATACCATGGCTCCCAGCAAAATTAACAGTGATTTTTTAAAATGCCATCTAATACCCAGGTCCATATTCAAATTTCTCTATTCCCAACAAGTGATTTTTGCAATTTGTTTTTTAATCCTCACCCGAGGATATACCCACTGATGGAGAAAGAGAGAGAGAGAGAGAGAGAGAGAGAGAGAGAGAGAGAGAGAGAGATTAATGTGAGAAACATCGATTGCACCCCCAGGTATGTGCTCTGATCAGGAATCAAACCCATAACACTCCACCCCATTGAGCCACCCAGCCAGGGATGCAGTTTATTTCTCTGAATAAGAATCTAATCAATCCACACATTGACAAGAAAGTTGTGATCTGTTTTACCTTTGATCATGCTGTACATCCCCTTGACCGGAATCAAACTAGGAAGCCTTCAGCCCACAGGCCAGCGCTCTCTCCACTGTGCCAAACCGGCTAGGTCAGCAACCGAGATTCTTTAATATGTTGCAATAATGCTAAAAATTGATAGTGACAGTATATTTAATCTGATTTCTCATTTGATTAAAATTCTCTCCTCCTCCATATGTTTTATTTTCTCAAACATGCTTGCAAATAGCCAGCTAAAACCTTCCTTTTTCCTGCCATTTAGAAACAAAACACTAAACTATATATATATATATATATATATATATATATATATACACACATATATATATGTGTGTGTGTGTGTGTGTGTATACACACACACACATATATATAGTTTAGAATTCACATGTGTCAAACACAAGGCCCACGGGCCAAATCCGTCCCGCCAGGCCTTGCAATGTGGCCCACACCGCGCTGTCATCACTGCACTCCGCTGCGTTTCCATCACAATGACAGTTTATGACTGTTCAGTAAACCATTCGGCCCGCGATTTAGGCTGGATTTTAGATTTTGGCCCCTTCTCTGATTGAGTTCGACACCCCTAGTTTAGATATATATATCTATACACACTATATATATGTGTGTGTGTATATATATATATATATATATATATATATATATATAGTGTGTACACACCGTATTTTTCGGACCATAAGACGCACCAGTTTTTAGAGAAGGGAAATGAAGAAAAAAAGATTCTGAAACAAATAGTGTCCTAAAATATTTTATGTGCATTAAAACCCAACATCACAGTCATAAACACATGTAATCAACCCTGTAAAGTAAACAGCAGCATTTAGAACCATTTTAGAGCCGGGCAAGCACACAGAGACCACACAGAGCCGGGCAAGTAAAAAAACTTTTTTTTTAAAGTATATGTGTAGGCTATATTTGGACCATAAGACGCAGGGACTTTTCCCCCCCACTTCTGGGGGAAGAAAAGTGCGTCTTATGGTCCGAAAAATACGGTATCTTGAGGGAAATCTCAAGAATTCTAAGAGTGGCTAGTGAAAAACGTGTATTTTTTTTTTTTTTTATGCTATCGTTCAACACGTAGTTATATCTCAGTCTGTCTTAATATATTCACCTGGCTCTCCAACAAAACATGATCCATTTCAAAAGTTATTCATCAGCAAATCATTTTTTTTTACAGTTATTGTAATTTAATTTAACACTTTGCATCATTTGTTAAATGGGGGAATTAGTTGTTTCTTTCTGGTGAGTATTATTACATATTGTATTGATATTATAAGCGGTTAGACATGAGCAGAGCCAGGATGATGGACTGGGTACCGAAGGCCAGCAAGACCCCAGGTGCCTAACAATGGCAGTCACTTGTAGGGAGGGACCTCGCCCCCAGGTGACTTTTCCTCCCCAAGCAGATGGCTGGGCACAAGGTTTGGACCCCTTGGTCTTTCCTCCCTAGAGGTACTAGCGAGGCCTCGGCTGTATTTCAGCTCCAGGCCCAGTGAAGCAGCAAGACCAGCCATGGCTGAGGTCAGCACCAGCTGCACTGGATAATGACCCTGCCCTGGGGCCGGCCAATCCCTCAGTGGAGACCACAGCTCTGACAGGCCACACCTGGAAAACTACTGAATATTCTATTAGGATCTTTCCCTGGGATCTCCCCTAAAATCTCTGCTCTTAAAACCCTTCTGATGCCGAAACTGGTTTTGCTCAGTGGATAGAGAGTCGGTCTGCGGACTGAAAGGTCCCAGGTTTGATTCCGGTCAAGGGCATGTACATTGGTTGCAGGCACATCCCCAGAAGGGTGTGTGCAGGAGGCAGCTAGTCAATATTTCTTTCTCATTGATGTTTCTAGCTCTCTATCCCTCTCCCTTCCTCTCTGTAAAAAATCAATAAAATATATTTTAAACAAACAAACAAACACACACACACACACCCTTAGGATGGAGTGCCCAGTGCACTTTCCCTCCAGGGAGCACACCCACCTTTCCCTTCCTCCCTTCCCTCCCCCTCCTTTAGCTTCCTCCCTGCCAAGCTCCTATGGCCTTCCTTTACCTCTATAACTTGTTTCCTAAGCCGTTTCTTCTAGGAATTACTTCTTCTACCTCCGTAAGTTGCCAAGCCAATGTTCTCTTACAGTTTGGGTCTTTCTCTGAATTCTTTCCTAGCCAGAAGCTAAGGCTGCTGAACCCAGGTCCGGTCTGACCCCACAGGTCAGACCCCGAGTGCCCTCCCCACAGTCTACAGCAGTGTGAAGTCAGCATGCTAGATTGAGTAGAGGGCCCATCTGAAAGTAAAATCATTGACTCCAAATCGTGACTTTATCATAGTTAAGGGGGAAATAACA